TGCTTTGAATTTAAATTGCATTACTAAAAGATCAATCATAACTTCCAACTGTGAAAATAGAAATCTGTCCATTGCAAAATGAAAGAAAAATATTTTTTATTTTATCTGTCAAATAGGCATTAAATAAAACACTCAAGAATCAGAAAGACTTTGCATTTATGAATTTGTGCATTGTTTCCTATGGCAGAAGCAGGAAAAAATTAATTATTATATTTATAATTTTCATGATAGCTGGTAATATGAGATAATACAAACTCTACATCTGAAGAATAATTACTCAAATTTCATCTTTCCTTCTTTCAAAGTTCTTATTTCTTTTGAAGGAAATGAAAAACAATTAGAATTGACTTTTGATATTTTTGCTTCATCTTTAATTTTCTAACATCCAATTCTGAATTAGTAACTCTTCATTTCATTCTGATGTTTGTAATTTTTATTAGTGATGATACAGCACAATTTTTCTCCTTAGCATGTAATTTATATTCGTACAGTTTATTTTGTGATGGGAAAAAAAGTAATTGAAAACTTCATTAGAATTCTATTAATTACATTATCTTGCACTATCTGACTCTCCAGGGTCCTTCTTTGGCTTCTTTTTTTCTGATAGTCTACAATAATCTCCTGATTTTATCCAAATCTGCAAAATGACTGTTCTCCTAGCTTGGCTCTGTTTACCTGCCCCATAAGATGCCCTTCTGCCCTTCTGTCTATTTCTGTCTTTTGTAATCCTGACCCTGTTCTAGACCTAATTTAACTGCCAACATTTCATTCTTTGTACTTTACTTAGTCACTAATCGCTCTTTTTGTTTATCATTATCTTTCTCAGCTCTATAACGTAAGAGCCAAGTGAGTATAAAGACTTTATGTCATTCACTCCAATGTCCCAGTGCCTCAAACAGAGCCTGGCATGTAGTAAGTACATGAAGAATCTGTTGAATCAACAAATAAGTAGTTATCAAAACAAACCTAAGGATAAAATAAGTATAGTGAGATATTCTATTTATGATGATTAAAAACATAAACATTCGTACTTTAATGTGTAGATTGATACTTCATCTTAATCTAGTGCTATTTTCATGAAGCTACATGAATTAAGAGAGATAATGAGATATCTTGAATCAGTCAAAAATAATTTCTAACACCAAGGCTGAAAGAATTCCAGTTTGAAGGTGCTATTTTCTCATATGAAACTGTGCTTATTATACTCCGTTTATAATCTTACTAAACACATTTTCTTGATATGCTAATGCTTTTTGCAAACCTTCTCTTGATTTTGTCATATAATTTAAAAAGATTTGATTAAGTGAAACAGACCCTAACTAGCTTTCAATGAATTTTCTAATAAGAATTGATTGTATATTTGAGAGTAGGCAACTGTTTTAATATTAACCTATATTTATATAGATTGTAACACATACCAGCTATCTTTCAAGTATTCAAAGTATATATATTGTGGTACTGGGTTTTGAAATCAGAGCCTACACCTTGAGCCACTCTACCAGTCCTTTTTTTTGCGATGGATGTTTTCAAGATAGGGTCTTGTGAACCATTTGCTGGGGCTGACTTTGAACCTCAGTCTTTCTGATCTGTGTCTCCTAAGTAGCTAGGATTACTGGTACTATATATCTCTATATATTTGCACAGCAAAAATAAGGAAGGGATATGATACATGACACAAACACACACACACACACACACACACACACACACACACACACTGAACTCTGAAATAAAAGTCTGGAATCACTAAATTTTTAATAATATATAGTGAAGTGTTGTGTTACTTTGTGGAAAACAGAACCTCTTGCATTCAGGTACTTAATAATTAAGCAAGTTGCTTGCTAATGTTCCGTGAGGCTCTGTATACTTACCTCCAAAGTGGGAGAACAATACATACTTTTCTAGGTTGGAAAGAGAAGAATAAAGCACCAAGCCTAGCACCAAGACTTGTACATATAAAGCACTTAATCTGTATGTATTAAATTAATTCCATTGAGAAGGGGCTGAATGGACCAAAGTAAAGTATACTCACAGCAAGTATACATGATGAAACTCCTTTGAACATCAACTTAGATATTAATAACTAGACAAGACTGTAAAATAGGTACAGTGTGGGGAAGTATTTGTGGGAGTGAGGAGGGTAAATGAAGGAGGTTACGGTGAAAGAATATGATTTATGGACTTCATATACCTGTACAAAATAGAACAAAGAAACCTCTTGCAATAATTTTAAGAGAGGTGGGGAGGGGGGACCGAGGAAGAGAGACAGTTGTGATCTAACCAATGCATGATATAAGCTTATATAGAATTGTCACAACGAATCTTCCCTGTACAATGAATATATCCTAAACAAATTAATTCCATTGAAAATATGGTTACCACTGAACTAAACTACTATGTATCATGTAGAGAAAGAGTGTAGTGAGTTTGTAACTAACCAGCTAAGATAAAAGTAATTACAGATGTCTGAACAACTCTCTGATTAATATACAACAAAAGCACATCCTGTGAAGAGGTCAAGTATATTGACCTTGATGAAACACTATGGTTGCTACAGTTGTGGCCAGGCAATTGTCCATGAGACCTAAGCATGGACACATTCACTCCAGCAAAAGAAGAAACAGGAAATATATCTCTGTAGTCTTAAAAATAAATTCACAATTATTACTGGAGAGATAGTATTCATACCTTATGAAAACAAATTCTTGCAGGTACTGAATAATCATTTTCTACACTTGTGTAGGTATTGAACTTGCCACTACTAGAAATAATAACAGATGAATACATAATGAATTATGCTTCCTCTTTTAATCCTTAACAAACAAACAAAAAAGGACCTACAGAGCCAACACAAAGGAAGAATGATAGAGCAAAATTTCAATCAGGGAACTCAAGATGTAAGTCCAGAAACATGCTATGAAATGTTTGTTGCAGGGAATCCATTAGGAAACAAAATGCCAAAACCCTGCCTGCTTAAACCTCACAATCTGGGATTTGTGTTGAGATAAGTATGATTATAGCTTTTAGACTTATGAATCAAGCCTCTCAAATACACATTTCTAATAAAGGATGTTGTTTAAAGAACCACATTAGTGGCCAAGGGATTTGTATGTTCTTTTCATCCTCAATTATTGAATGAGCTTTGACATTTTATGCAAAACCTTGAAATACTTTGATATCATTGTATGTAATTCAACTTTCTGCTGCCTAACTCAAGGGATGTGAATGATGATAATCAACCAAGTTACTAAGCCTTTCTCCAGCCTCCCAATGTGCTTCCCTTCTGTGGTGCTTAGAGTACATGCTGCACAGAGTTCCATGCTTTTCTCACTGGTAGTCTCCCAACCAGGACTGAGCAGTGTTCAGAGACAGGGCCTTTTATTAATCTTCTCATTATCAGCACCTAACTCAGTGTTTGTCACAGTGTTCAGGTAGCTTATATGCTTGTGTAAATAAATTTCTATATTTTTTATGGCTTTCAATGCATATTTGTATTGTGACTTTGGAAGAGCACATAACTAAGACTTGAATTTCAAGATCAGGGTTCTTTTAAAACACTTAATGATAAAATAAGCATATTGAACTACTGTTTTAGGTGTGTCTTTAGGGTCTGTTAAATGTAGGTATGATCAGTCATCTTTGGCTTTCTCTATCATTGGTGAAATATTGCTGGGCTGCTTTTTTTTTTTTTTCTTATCTGTAGGCCATAAGATGAAAAAGACCTTCGGAAATCACCCATACTGTCATCAGAAGAAAGTAGCATTGATTATATGCAAATATTTTGCTGCAAAACAGGATCTTCTGTTAAAGAGTTTCTGGCTAGCCAAAAATAATTCAGCTCTGTCACAAAGACTGGAAGGGGATAGAGACAGCTTTGTCATTTCCCATTCTGTACCCACAAGCCATCCCCCTTATGCTTATAGAAGGTTTCTTCTTCTCCTTCTCCTTCTTTTTTGCAGAAATGGAGTTTGAACTCAGACCTCATACTTGCTAGGCAGGTGCTCTACCACTTGAGTCACTCTGACAGCTCTTTTTTTGGGTGGGGTATTTTCAGAGACAGGCTCTCAGGAACTACTTGCCCTTGGCTGGCTTCAAATCACTATCCTCCTGACTTCTGCCTCTTGACTGGCTAGGATTTGTGCCACTGGGCACAAAATTTCTTTATGCTTTTTAACTTCTCCATCAGAAAATAAAGAGTCCCTACTGTGTGTGATAAGATAGTGAAAGTAGTTTGTTTGTTGAGGGGAGGAGGTGATTGCCAGTATTTGAAGGCTCCAGTAATTAAATTCTGATCAAATGACTCCAAAGTCATCCTTTTAAGGATACCTCCCACTAAATCACAGGATAGAGGGCCTGTATTGGAACAATACATGAGTTAAGACAGGTACGTGGTATGTAACACTCTTCACTATCAGACGCATATGTTAATCAATAAGCCACACCTGTGGATAAATGCTTATAGATCAATGTGAAAAAGTGCAAGATAAATATTTTTCCAGCTGAGTGATAGAAACTGGTCTTTATCTTTGTTTTCTTTATAGACATTTTAAAGAAGTTTCCTTGTAAAGACAAGTTATTTTCCAGGCAATATTCCCAGGACACTTACTAATGGAACCCAGTCCTTATGTCAGTTACCATATACTGTTACAAGTCAACATTCTAAAAAAAAAAACTTTAACAGAAATTAACAGCAGCTACAATGAAACACCAAAATTTCTGACACTTAAAAGCATTTTCTCTCTAAAGTGGATGGGATTACTGGGTTGACAATTTCTCTTAATCTGAAAAAACTCATCTGTCCATCTCCCTCTCTATCTCCTGTCTTCCACCTGACACACATTACATATTCTGACCATTTTATTTGAGGAAAGTTGAAAGAAAGCAACACGTCAGTTACACCCACCCAGCGCTCCTGGGGGTGGAAGAGCAAAGTTCTCTGGCAGAGAGCCTTCCTTCTCTGAGCCTGGCAATGCGGTCTCTCTCGGATACCTGCTCGCTTTCGCGCGACGTCTGAAGCTCTGGCACCACGGAACAGTTGCGTCTCCATCTGGCCACCAACCCACCCAAGCTTTCTTCTCCTCCACCACCACCTTCCTGCCTTCCCCCGCCTCCCCCTCCTCCCCGTCTTCCCTCTCCACCCCCGCCCCCAGTCTCCTCCTCTTTTTCTCACTACAAGCGGTTGCTGATGCTGAAGCCGAGCGTCACTTCGGCTCCCACGGCAGACATGGCGACATTGACAGTGGTCCAGCCGCTTACTCTGGACAGAGGTAAGGGAGCGGCTGGCCCGCCAGGCCACGGCGTCCCCATTGCTTCCCCCTGTGGCCTTGCCAAGTCCCATCGGGACAGCGGGTGGAGCAGGGAGAGCGAGGACGAGCCAAGGAGGCGTTCGCGCCCAGAGCAGGACACTTTCTTCTCCTTTCTCTCCCCGCCTCGTCCCCGCTGTCCCTTCCCGCTACACTCGCCCGGGCGAGGGTGCGTTCGCCGGGCTCTGGCGTCCGCGCCGCGGCTCCCAGCCCCTTACAGGGTCGCTCCCGGCCGCCGGCTTTGTTGGAGCGGATGCGCAGGGACCGCTCGGCGCCCGGGGCTCGGGGTTGGTGAAGGGCAGAGGAAGCTCGCCAGGCTGGAGACCCAAAAAGAATGGCGAGGAAGCCGCCTGCCAACTGCACGGCTGGGGGCCCAGGAGGAAGGAAGGAAGTTTGTCCTGCGCCGGCGGGCGAGGGTCGGTGGTCCAGCCGCCGGTGACCAGGAGGCCACCCAGGGGCGGCAGGGCGCTCCCCGGGGTGGCCCGGCGCACGGCGGGGAGCTGCCCTCTGCCGAAAGGGCAGCGCGGAGCACCGGCAGCCTGGCCGGGTCGGGGCCGCTGCGTCGCGGGAACCGAGCCCGGCTCGCCCAGGCTTTGAGTCCCGAATTGCTGCGGGGAGCGCGTTGGTTGCTCTCTGTGCTGGCAGATCCCGGGCGGTAGCAACTCTGTTTCTCCCGCCCTGGCCAACCTTGTTCTTTCTCAGCTAAGTGGCACCTCGGTGTTCGGGCTGCCGGAGGCGCGGGGACAAAGCGCAGGTTGGGTTAATTTTTAACTTCTAACCTGCGACCCCGTGCGTCCTGTCCTTTCGAGTTGAATGGGAAATAGTGCTGCCTTTCTTCCCAGGACCCCTCGCCCCCTTTCGCCCCCTCCGCGAGTCCACCGACCCGTCCTTCGCGGCCATCAGGGGCTCTTCGGTGCTTAGTGCCGGCTTGACCCTGTCCCTGCGTTTCTGAGTTTCCTTTCTGGCTTCCGACGTCCAGTTATGAAGGCGCTAGAGTCACAGGGCTCTGCAGAGAGAGGGCAAATGCTAGTCCCTGTCCGCCGCGGCCGGATTTAGGACCCTGGGCAGCCATTTAGAAATGATGGGCTCAGAAGAAAATGATTTAGTCCATGTCGGTCTAACGTTTCCCTGTCCAGGGGATAAACCTGGACTGGGGGCAAGGCAAAAGAGCATCCTGCAGAGAGTAGAGTGGAAAAGTCAGTGAATTCAGTTTGAGGTTTTTAATTTGGAGCGATCCTGGGTGACTTTAACTCAAGCTGTTGGTGCCAGATCAGATGTTATGTGATACCTATAGCATACTTACTTGGAGTAAGAGTTAAGAGAATAATTTTTTTAATGATTTTATGTTGGGAAATGTTGATTTACAAGGTAGCAGATTAATAACAGTAGTTAAAGAGCACAAGAAATCCATCGTGTAATCCATGATTTCACCCTCCATATCATCATCTGGACTAAGCAGGATAAATCCATTGCCAGGAAGAGCCAAACAGATGGCAAGCTATTAGAAACTATGGATTTCCCAAGTATTTCTCTTTTAAAATGATCAGCTCTTATATTGTTCCATTACTGAATTACAGTCATTAAACATCTCAAGTTAATCAACTATGTTAGGAGCAAAAACTCCAAGAACATACCTGAACAATTTCATATCCAACTACTACTACTACTACTACTACTACTACTACTATTAAAATTATTTCGCTATGGGGGTTTTATCTTAGCCCTTAACTGCTTCAGTTAAGAGGGAAGTGCCAAACAAACCGAGATTTAATCTTAAAGTTTATTCTTGTTCACATCCAAACTGTATCTGTCCTCTTGTGATTAGGTCTATGCAGTAGGTTAGGAAGCAAATTGGGTGAGACTGTACAAGGATCTGAATGAATTCACCATCAGTTCACACCTTCTGTAACTTAGGAATGATGAGTTATTGACATCACTTCTGTACATGAAATCAATATAAGTATTTTCCTCTCTACTTTATATGATTAATAACTTTGTATAACTAATTAATTGATTTCCTCATTAAATTGATGAAGTAAGGGATTCTAAAAGTTTTCTTTAAAAAAAAAGTTCTCACTGTAGTTGAATCTGCTCAATTCTTTGGACATCAGTTTCCTTTTGTGCTACATCTGGAGTTTGGATTGGATGATTCTGATACTGTAAGGATTTTCAGCCCATTGTTCAATTAATTAACATTAGGACTGTGTTTGGCCACCAACTGGGAAATTTTTCAGATCACCGTAAGCTGCTTTTGTACACTTTGGTGTGCTTTAAATTTGCCTACCCCATTAAAGCTTTCATCACCATTTGTTGCATTGTCTGCACAATAGGTGCAGCTCCATGGAGAAGAGACCATTTCAGAATTCATCTTTGAAACTATAATGCCTGCCCTTGTCCCTGACCCTGGCTCAAGATAGGATAAAAACTTTAATGTAGATCAGTGCTAGTAAACTAAAGACAGTGATAACTCAAGCACTGTTAATTAATTATTGAGATTTAGTTGCTAACTGAGGTACAATTCATGGAGTTACAAGATTTGTGTGTCGCAAAGGATGATAAGAGATGACACAGATCAGAAGCCTTTCTTTTCTCTATACTCTTGGTGGCTTCTCAACAGCAGCAGTAGCTCACCAAGGCTACAGATTTTAACCAAGCAGGATTGTGGCAGGTGGGAAAGGGGAAAAAGAAAAGAAGATGCTTCAAAAAGCCTCCCAAGAGCATCTCAGAAATTCAGAGACACAATGTATGATTTTAGGACTGTTTTTTTTTTCTAGTATCTTCATTTTACAAATGGAGCACATGAAAGAAGTGGTGATGAGATGTTTTCAAGGTTATTCTTCTTGTTTACTGCCCATTGGCCCCATAATCTTATAAATCAGAAATCTTCAGAGCAAGATTTTAAGCAAATAAGTCAATGCTTTGGGTTGAAAATAAGATTTATTTTTTCTCAAATTCAAAATATACAGAATGAAAGTAAGAGTCTCAGTAGTCTGCACCTTCCTTATTTGGATCTTCTCTGGGAAGCAAGACTTTTTCATGATCCAGACTGGGCCTGGAAAGATGAACAGGGTAACTTAAGGTTTTCATGGCTTTGTGATGCCCTAAATTCTTTCCCATCTGTAATCAAAACATTAGTCTAGCCCTGTAGACCTCTGAGTGTCTATAGACAGAATAGGTTCCTGTTCACTGTGGCCCCAGTCCTTAATATAATAGATCCTTGGTATCTCCATGGGTAAATGATTCCAAGAAGACAAACATTGAGGAAAAACCATGAATGCTCAGGATCCTTTGAGTTCAGTACTGTATTGTGGATATTTGAGTCACTTTTCCTGTAATGTCACAGGGTTCCACTAAAGACATGCTGGCTTTCAAGAAATCTGAAAATTTCAATTTATCACTTAAAGTAGCTACATTAACTTTTTCCTTGTGTTTTGGGCACCATTTGCTTTTGGGGAGGCATATTTTCACAACATTAAGGGCAGATCATACAACCATTTAAATACAATTGATGATAACGCTGGATGATTGAGAGCTCAGCATCCACTGAGCTGCACAATTTAAAAATTTTTAAATTTAAAAGCTTTGCTTTTGAAGTTTCTTTTTAATGTATTTATTATTTTTTGATCATGCTTGGACAAAATTGCATGTAATAAGTTTGCAAATAAGATGGGCTTACTGTATTCTTCACTGACTGCGTGCCTACAGTAAGCCAAACCCTTCTGTGGGATCAGTATATATTGAGAAGCTAAACAGATATAATTCCAGTTTTTATGATAATGAAGGGATACTGGAGAACATTGAAAAAAAAAACAAAAACCAAAAAACTTCCACACAAGCAACACTTCATTCATCCAGTCATTCAGTATTCATGCATCACCTGTTATATACAAGATGGCAATGGGAATATCAGAAACAAAGTTTCTGTTTCTATTTGTATGATCCTTAGAAGAGGGGAAACAGATGATAAGAGATTAATTAATTAAATGAATAAGTATTGAATCTCAGCCTTATGCCAAACGCTTTTAATCACTATGGCAATGTTAAAGAGCAACATAAATAAAATCTAATGGTGTTTACGTGCTAGTGACAGCAACACTAACACTAGTGAACATATAACATATGCAACTGTAAGGTCTAGGGAAAGAAATAAGCTGGATAAAAGAGAGTAAAGAGAGCTGCTGTCTTAGACATATTAGTCAAGGGAGAAGCTCCTGAGTTGGTGACATTTGAGGAGGATCTGAGAAAATCAAGGAAGCAAATTTTGCAGGTATTTGGGGAATATTCTCAAGAGGAAGAACTTCTGTGGGCATCCTTAGAATGTCAAGACAGCCAGTGTGAAAAAGTGAGCAGAGGGAAAAGTGGGAGAAAACGGGATGTGTGAAGTTGGTAGTGAGGGTCTACATGAGGTGACTCATAACTAGGATTTTAGATTGATTGAAGATACATAGTGCCCTGAAGAAAAATAAGCATGTTATCTGGACAGAGAACAATAGGGAAAGGCCTATTTGGTCAGGGTCTAGTTGGTCAGGGGAGATTCACTGAGAAACAAGATTTAAACTTAGTCTTGATGTATTAATATGATCCTTAGGAAAAGCATCTAGAGGGGGGAAGAGTGTACATAACAGCAGTTCTGTATTTACACCTTGGTTAACATCTGGTTAATATAACCAAGAAAGTGATCAAAAATTTAAAACTACCAGGAAATAATTATACCCTAAGTATGCATCCTGGGGTAGAAATTTGGTTATATATGTCAAGGAAATCTACAGATTACTTTTCATCTTTTTATTATGGAGCTAAAACATCAGATACTATAATTAGATTTTCAAAGATGCATTGAGCATTGTAATTTACATGTCTCTCTGTATAAACCTACACATCGAATAAGAGTGGTCATGATATGAGATGTCTCATATTTTATGCTCCACAGTAGTGTAGGAAGTAGTCCATGTAATTTACCCTTG